AAGTAGATTATTTATTAATCAAAAATAAATAAGGAATATTATAACGAGTAAGTTGTTTTTGTCGAAATATATTTAAATTCTTAAATATTGCAAAAAACAATAACAAATATAGAATCAAATATATCTAATGTAGGATACATATTTAATAAAATTTTCTTTTATATGGGAGCGTTTCCAGTAAAATAAAATTACAGATCATATAATTGATTTACTTGACAATGGTCATGGGTATTATTATTATAATTCCTAAAAAAAATTTTTTTTTAATTATTGAATAATTTTCCATCCTCCTTTGAGCAAGAAAACAGCTTTTAATTCCATATAGCAAAAAATACTTCGACTAACTATAAAACTAGAAATAAAATTTGTCGTTAAATTAAACACAAATTGCAATGCCGCAGCAATTCAATTTATTATAAAATTATTTAATCAATACTGTTTTTTTGCTAACTTCATTTCATACATTAACGAAAACACGTAGTTGCACAATTTGTATTGTATAACCAAATATTTGAAAGTTGTCCAGCGTCAAAAGATTTTGCCATATTTAGAAAACAATATACATATTTTACGCGATGAAGCTTCTTTTTTTACCACAAAAAAATAATGCTTTAGTATCGAACCTTATTAACATATTATATTTTTATTTTATTAGACATAGGGATGTTAAGCAGTCCTTACGATTTTCATTTACTAGAGAGGTCTAATCACTTATCTATAATAAGTAAACCCCCATCAAAATAATGTCATAAATTAATTGTAAAAAGCAAAAAGATATTCAAAATTGGCAATTTGATGGGACCTCTTAGTATAGGACTGTCTTAGGGACCCGGTCCTAAATCCTAAATCTTAAATTTTAAGGAATTCTGGGTTTATTATTTATTTTCATTAAAACATTATAATAGACATGTTAAATAATAAATTTGTGAAAATAATTCTTTTGTAATTTTCTTGGGACTTTTAGGACCCCTAATTAGACACAACTAGCTAGAAGAAGTGGGGCAAAGTCGGTATATATCTATTGGTTTTCGTTATTTATTTATTTATTTATTATTATTATTATTTCCTTTCTGTACTGGCTGGAGTTCGACTTGGGTGGACTAGACTTGATTGCAGCCAACTCTATTAGCTTAAACTTGGCGCCTAAACCTAGTAGTTTCTTTCTGTAAGAGGAATTGGCTATGTAGATCAATCAAGTAGGTCTCCTAACTGATGTAATTATATATTATATTTATTTCAATTTTAAATTTTATTTTATTAAATATATTTTTTTTAATTTTTAAAAATTAATTTTTAATTTATAATTTTTTTATTTAGTTATTTTTTTTTTTGAATGTAATTTATTTATTCGGTTTTCTAAATTTTGTTAAAAAAAAGTTTGCGAATATAAAAAAAAAAAAAAAAAATACAAATTATTATAATCGCGGGTTTTTTTTTAATTATTTTTTTTATTTAATTTAAAGTTCGCCCGCGATTTTTTAAAAAAATTTTATTTTTTATAATCGCGCGTTCTAATATTTAATTTTGTTTTAATATTTTTAATTATTTTTTAATTTGCATATACATATATATCCCCTATATTTTTAATTTAATTATTTTATTTTTATTTTCGAATTTAATTTATTTAGAATGTTCTCAAGACTCTAACTCAATGGATCGATCGATTATATTCGATTAGTCGAAAATCGACGAAAATCGAATCTTAGAGTCGAATCATAATCGCGATTAAATCGATTCTCAAATCGATTCTACATTATAACCGTTACTAAATTGATATATGTATAAAAAGTCATTTCCAGCTAATTTTAAAGTTTGAATTTTTATTTTACAATAAATCTGTCGATCTGTGGCGAAAAATGTCGATCTGTAGCATTATTTGTGCAAAAAAGTTCTATCTACTTTTCTTTTATAATAAATAAATCACTTTTTTGGTATGTGTAACATAATTTATCCGATTAATGGATTAAATAGTGGGCCGAGATTTTTGATATATAATCCACCCAATTTTTTGTTTGTGTTTATCACATTGGAAAATTATAATAATAATTCATAATGCTTTATGCAACCATTTTGGTTTTTATATCTTTTATAGCTTATAAAATTTATCAATCATTCAAAGTACCCGAAGGACTTAAAGATGTGCCAACATTAAGTTATTTTGGATTTATTATATCTTTGCTTTCTAATGAGGGTCCTGACAAACTTTGGGAAAATTCACAAAAAGTTCTTGAGAAAGAAGGAATTGGAAAAGTAAACAATCTTATCATTCTTATACGATTTATTAATTTTGAAAATAAAATTTTCTGAAAAAAAAATTTAAAAAAAATTATAGTTTTGGTTCAATGGAGCATGGCATATCGTTACAACCGATTTGGAACTTACAAAAGATGTATTTACGAGAGCAGGTTAGTATTTTTTTTCCCTTTATTTTTCCTTTTATTTTTGTTTTAACTTTATAAATATGAATTAGAATTGTTTCCTAAACCATCGATCGAAGAATTGTTTCCCGGATCTTTATCGGCTAGTTACTATGGCACAAACGTAGTATTTTCCAACGGAGATGTAAGTAAATTTGATATTTCTCTGTGTATTATATGATCCTTAACTGATATTCGATTGTCTTATTGGTTTGTAGGTTTGGAAACGTCATCGGTTTGTATCGTCCATTTATATATCATAAATAGATTATAACATTTATTAATCTCCTTTATATTTTAGTTATATTATAAATCCTGCGTTTAAAAGTCTACCCATGCACGTATTTGATGAAACTGCTTTGAAATTGCTGAAAGTTACTGAAAAAGTTGATAATGGACCTATAGAAGTCAAAGATCTTATGCATAGGTAAATCAATCTCGAGTTATTTATGGTAATCGGAACAACATTTAATATATAACCTATCTATTGCAGACTGACTTTAGATGTTCTTGGAAGAGCTGCTTTTGGATTTGATTTTAATGTAAAATAATTTTTTTTTTTTTTTT